CGGATCACGTCCTGCCCGCTCCCCCTGTTTCCCCCCCGCGTCTCCACTTTTCTTTTTTACTTTTATCTATCGGCTGTCCTCATTCACAACACATCATTCCTTCCTGATATCCTCCATGTGTCTATCGTCCATCTCCCCGTCTCTGCCAAGCTCCCAGTCTCCCTATTTCTTTTCTTATCCTCCAATTTTCACTGTTACTTTTCTACCCCCACCCTCCACATCCTCCTCCTCCTCTTTCTCCTGCTCACCACCCTGCTCACGTCCAGGTCTGTTTCCACTGATAAGACTCTCAGTAACACACACACGCGCACGCACGCACACACACAAGAGTAGATAACGACACTGAAATTGCCAGCATAGTTAGCATGGCGGCTAACTGCTATTCCTCGCATCCCTAACATAGTGGCTAATGAATGTGTCATCAGTGATATTTCTCTCTGAGCCAAACATGCACAGTGAGTAGATAGGAAAGAAAATGATGGAGACTGGGAGAAGCTGAACAAGAGGACAAAAACATTCTTTCTTTCTTTTTTTTGTGTGTGGGGCCGAAAACAAAGTTATTAGCTGTTATGTCAGCGCTGGCTCAGGTAGTGGGAGAGCGATGAATAAGCTGTGCTATCTGAGACCACAGGCCGAGCTACAAGTCAGCCAGTTTATTATGGTGCAGAGACAGATAAAGAGTTTCAGTCTCGCCCACGCAAACACAGACTTTCCTCAAATTGCCGCCAATTAACATGAGCCTTGATTAATATTAATGCATCTGATCGTGTTGAAGGTACTGTGGAGCAGAGTGACAAAAAAATATGATTTATTTTGTTTTCATCTAACTGCAATAGAAAGAGCAGATTAGAGTTCATTTGAAGTTTAGAAAACTCATTAAAAAATGTAACAGGTAATCGACCCTTAAACTGCATGAAGAGACCTTTCACATTATTTGTGATGGAAAAACAAAAATGAAAAACTGAGTCAGAGTATAATTAAGACAGAAGTGAGGCAGCATGTCTTGGATTTGCAGTGTCCCATTTAAGATTTTCTGAATTCATTTACGAAGCACGTATCAGCTCACGAGTTATTTGTACTGCAGTTACCTTTTCGTCAGGCTAAGAGAACTTTCTTCTACCTTGACTTTTGATGAATCACATTTCAGCACCCTGATACACACAGTTAATATGGATTTTTACTTGAGTGATTTGCTTTTATTTTGATGGTTTACAAAAAACATTTTGTTGGCAACAAGTGTGTTTATTTCTGTAGTGTGAAGTCATTTCTTAGGCAGAGTATGGAAAGGCATATGTAAAAGCATTTTCTTTCAGCTTTAGTCACTATATAATGCAAAACCTGTTAAAACTTTGTTGTCACTGCTGTGGTGTTTATACTTATGGTACAATGTGTGATGACTGAATGTAAAAATCTATATAAAAATCAGACAATCAATCAATATTTATATGATTTCAATCAGATTTTTCATTTTTAAATACTCAGTTTGTCAATTAAAAACAACAAAATATGTGTCACCATCACTCAATTACACCAAGGAAACCACTGTCATAATGTTGTCATGTTATCTGGACTGGAATATCCTGACCTCCTCCTCTATTAAACCATCTTAGGACTAAATGAGAATTTAAGTACATTTTTCATCTGTAGCAGCTTTATGCTTTTGGAGTCTCAGACTGTGGCATCCCCAGTGTAGAGTTACTTGATGGGAAATAGCTCCGGTCACATGAGAAGCATGTGGTATTTTTGAGTGTGACCACATCAAAGCCCTGTCGTTCCACCTGCCTCTCGATCGTCTCCCTTTTGAGCGGGCTGAAATGCAGAGAAGTTGCCAAAGACAACAGTAATGAACAAGGCCGTGATTAGCTTCTCGACAGAGCTGCTGATAGAGAGCGTGTAGGCCGAAACGCAAAAAGACAACCATTATGTATGCATGTGCAAAATGAAATTTCTTCTGTCATCCCTGAGAAATTGCTCCTATTATGGAATTAATTTGCATATCTTGTGAGCATAAGGTGACATGGAAAGGTAAGTGTGAACATGAATCATCCCCACAAGTGTAATAAAACCTTGCCGTCTTTGAAGATAATGAAAAAATAGACCCAGTAGTTACATTTATCACATATACCTCCATACATTTGCCTAATGAATAAACTGGAGTGTGGATGCAACTATCCAGGGGTTTCATTCGTTTTTAAACTTCTTTGCTGTTCTTGCTATATTCCATCCAACATATTGCATTTATATCTGACCCACATCCCACATGCACTCACAACTCAAATGTCATCCTATTCTGTCCTAAATGTCAGTGCAAATGAAAGTCCTCCCAAAAGGGAAGGCTTTGAGAGACAAGACTGTCACTTGGCTGCTTTTTGGTATAAAATTCTTACATTTGCAGCCATAATCTTCAAACACACATCTTCACACCCACTGTGAAGACATCTTGTGCAAGCAGTCACTCCACCCACAAGCATATCACAGGGAGAGCCACGAAATAAAAACAGCAAAATCATCAGAGAAGCTAATAAACGGAAATCATTTCATGATCTTGAAGCATGGGTTCAGTTACCGAAGGGGTTGGATTTCTGCAGTCAAGGCTGATCCACAAAGAACAAAAGTTATACATGCTACAAATCAGTAGAAAACATTACTTGCTACTTGTGTTTCAGTCAGAAGTCATTTATCCAATTTCATCCTATTATCTAAACCGCTTATTTGAGGGTCACTGGCTGGAGCCAATCTGTCGCTGGGCAAGACGTGGGCCAGAAATATATAAATGTATAATAAATATGAGCAATCATAACTAAACTGTCATGTACACATCTGCAGTGCATCTGAGTGTGATTCAGTGTAATTCCTAAAATACACAAAAAAAAGAGGTGGCAATAGTAATGATAGTTATATGCGATAGTATCAAAACACATGCAACTCAACTTATTAACGTTAACTTAACAAAATTACAATCAGGTGACAAACAAACAAACGACTCACCTAATTTCCTAAAATAAATCTGCCTGTGCGGACACAAACAAGTCTGCCAGATATGCATCACTAATTTAAAGTACAATGGTTTCACTGTCATCAGATAAGAGTAACCCTGAACAGACTCGGTCAGGACAGCCACTGCTGTAGTGGATTTGTCCATTGATAAAACAACTCGAACTGACAGGAATCTAGTGATGTGTCTCTGGTTGGATGTGTTCAATGAATAGACTCGTCCCTAATGCTTTAGCCTGGTGCACAAACTGGAGAGGAGGTATCTCTCATTATTGATAAATTGTATCGTCTAAGTTGACATGCTAACGTTAATCACTGGTCCATAAGACTCTTCAAAAAGATGGATGACATGTCTCCACTTCCTCTATCCAGGAGTGCAGCCAAAATATCCAGAATCTAAACGCTGCCATCTTAAGTGGACTTTTTTGTTTGGTCCCATCCACTAACATGGAGGAGGCAGGATTTATGACCCACTCTGCAGCCAGCCACCAGGTTGTAAGCAAGATGATTTAATTTTTCTTTCGAGGAGCCGTCATGCTGTCTGTTTATATATAAAGTGGTTTAACACTAGACTATTGTCTTGACCATTATTGCATCATTTTACTCTGCTGTGAAGTAAGAAGTGAAGTAACAGGCATTAATGCAAGAACACAATTTTCAGTGTGCACAAAGTGCTACTTCCACTCCGTCAGTAATGATCCATGTTTGCTTGTAAATAATCAGTAACTGACTACATTTAGCTCAGAGGTTGGTGCGCGAGGTGTTTGCTGGACTTGGTCTCCACCGAGCATCATGACATGTCTGACCTCTGGCCTCAGGGTCGCAGGCTGGACTTCTAGCTCCTCTCCTGCGATGAGCTGCTAACTGACCTTTGGGGCGCTCAGTCAGTCTCGAAGAGTGTGTTTCCCTGCGCATTTTTCTCTGTGTCTGAACCTCGGTATCCTGTGATTTAATTTACCCTGACAAGGCAACAGGACTGAACAATAAAAATGTCTATTCTCTCTCCTTCTCTCCCTCTCTCTCTGCACACTCCAGGCTAAATGGGGGAGGTGTTTAAACCAAACAAACCCACTGGAGGAGTGAGATTCCCAAAGAGTAATTTTTGGAATTTAAATCCACCTTTTGTATGTTTGTGTATCAGGAACAGTTTGCTGCTACTTATGGTTCATAGTGCAGCAGAAAAAAGTACAAGACCTAACAGATGATTCATGGAACTGAAATGTTAGCATCCATACACTACCTGCTCATATTAGAGCAGATCTAAACATCAGTTTTTGGGTCATCTTTTTGAATTGTAATAGTTCCTGGGTCAATGTTAAAAAGCAGGGATCGGGTACTTGCATTTGAGGCCTGTTGACTTTCAAAACATCAAACAAACTAACTATTTATCTTTGCTATCCCTCCAAAGACATTTCTGTAGAAGAGCATTTTCTTATATATATATATATTTTTTTTTTAATACACCATGGGTGCTTTGAAAATCCATTATTATTGTTATTATATTTTCACTATAACTACAACTATGATCAATAGTAGTAGTAGTAATGGTATTTTTATCGGTATTATTAATCAGAGGCTGAAAATGCAGTAAGCCCCCCCCCTCCCAGTTTCTCCATCATCTAATCTCGGCTCTCTCTCATCCTTTTCGTTTTTTCACCCTGCCTGGATGTTTAGAGAGACTCCCTAAACCACTGCACGCCCGGCAGCTCACTGAATTGTAAGTCCAAACAGCCGGAGCAGCAGCAGATAGATAGTGACTGAGAGGAGGAATGGAGGGGAGGCAGTGAGTGAGCGAGAGAGAGAGAGAGAGAGAGAGATGAAAAGCAAGCTAAGCGAGGGAGAGGCGTTCATACTGAAGGAGGCAGAGGCAACAGCAACAGCACGCTCCTTCCCCATCCTCCCTCTCCTCTCTCATAATCCCACATCCACACCGGGGGAGATGGAGGGTGCCCTGACCGGCTGAGAAGCACAGTCTGAAGGAGAAGAAAATCTCAAACCAGCCCTTTCCTCCCTCTCTCCCCTGCTGTGAATGCCTGGATCATTTTTTTGGGAGGGGGACCATAACTAACAAGGGGTGAAAGGAGGTGTGTACACACGAGCCTGCTGGAGGCAGAAGGGAGAGAGGGAGGGAGGGAGAGAGACAGAGAGATAGAGAAAGAGAGGAGGGGGACGAGTAGCAGGTTTAGTGCAGCTGCTGATGCCAGAGTCTGGGAGTGAGACAGACTGAGGGGGACCTGAGGAGTGGAGGAGGGCTGGCACGTGTGGAGCGGGGGTCGGCAACTTGTGGGCAAAGCGGAGGGGAAAAAAGATTCACATTCACAAACAGCTGGACAGATGAGGAGGCTTCAAGGACCACGCTTCAGTCCTGGGTATGTGCACGGATACCACACACAAACACACAAACACACACACATGTAAGGCTACATTTTGTCCTCAGTGGTTGCTGTTTTTTCAGCATCAGAGCTCAGACACACTTGAAACACAACAGTGCATGTTTGCAGATCTTCAGCGTTGATGACTACCCTCCCTGACAAGTCTCCCTACTTGCCCTCAGATACTTGCAGCAAAGGAAAGAGGACACAGAGGAGCGTTAATGTGTGTGTTTCTGTGTGTCATGCTTTCTACATCTTGTAATAACAGTATTTTGCACCACTAGAGGCATTTCACACAGGCTTTCGTAAGCTGTCACTGAGACGATGCATGTAAATAAATGGTGGAATGCTGTCATGTTGCAGATTCATCTCACTTTGAGCCTCATTACGTTAACTTTGGTACATATTTGTCCTGCACACAGCGTTCTGTCGTAAATTGTGCACAGTAAAAATCCGATTGGCTAACTTGTGTGGCTGCTAGGGGAGAAAAATAAAGCTGTAGTCCAGACTTGTTTGTGCGCTCTGGACTGAGACATGTATAGCTCTGCTTACCCATGCTACACTGCAGGATGCAGGAGCCGTGGTAACATGACATGTGTGGCCATGTGTTATGTCACGTTGTGGCAGAGTGCATATGGCTTATGACAGCAGGTTTTGCACGAGGTGCATCAGCCTCTTCATCTAACACCCCTCTTTTCCTCTTGTTTCCACCATCTTCCCTCTTTCTCCATTTCCAATTATAGAGTGTCGCCTCTCTGGCTTTCCTCCTGATCTTATCTACCATTTCATTCTACTGCTAAGCAATTACCTTTACCTGCCTCTGCCTCTCCGGACAGCAGGGCTGACTAGTCTCCTGTCTGCCCCTTCAATAATAGAAGTGAGGGATGGCTGGTGATTTCATGACCGCTTTCTTACAGTTGAGCGACACCTGTGACCTCAGCGCAACTAAACGCAGCAGCCACTTCATGCTATGTCTGCTCCCACAGATCCGGAACAGATATCTGAATATGAAGTGTAGTGTAGCTGCGGGGGCTTTTCAGTGAACAAAAGAACTTTGCCTCTAATCAGGCAATTAGCTCATTATTTCCTGGTCCTCATTAACTTGTTTGGGTTCCTAACTTCATTCCTGTTTGCCGTCTTGTCTTCCTGAAAACAAAACCAATCCAAAAAAAGACCCAGACAGAGCTGGCGGACAGATTGCTCCCAGCATATGGGCGAACTTGCTGTTGGCGTCTGAGCGTGGAGAGAGTTGCCAGAGAGCTACAACTCCCCGAATCACAAACCCCCGCTGACTCCCTCATATATTCAAAACCTTGTTTTTCTACCTTTCTCTGTCCCTACATTCCTGAAACCTAATAATCACTTTACAGGAACATTAAACCTACATAAAAACAGACACACACCCTGATGCCCAGCATAAACCATTCAGCGCAGCGGTGTGACAGCTACCTGAAGCGTAGCATCACTGTCCTTTCTGCTGCCAAGCTGCTGGAAAAAGACACACAAGAGAGAGACAAGTCCGAGACTGACAGTGAGACATAGAGGGATTACTGAGGAGAAGGATAAAAAGAAGAAGAGATAGAGGACAGAGTGAATTGTGATCGAACAGTGAATTATTAAAGAAGATTGAGGTGATAATGGAAGAATCTGAGGAGTCAAAGGAACAGAAGGATGTTGGAGGGTGATAGAGACACAGAAGAATGTGTGTGAAAATGTTTGGCTTCTGAGCTCACAGGTGCTGATTGCTGATGTCTTTTTCCAGTAAGTGGAAACCACAGCAGAGTGATGGTGTTCAAGCGCCCCTCAGGAGAGAAGGTGAAAAGACGGGCAGACACACAGACACTGGAGGCAGAGGGTTGGTTTACATTTTGAAAGGCGTTCTGTTGCATCTACTACAGAGGCTCTAAAGTGAATATCACAACAGTAAATACAGAAAAAACAAGAAATCATGAAACACAACCACAACCCCATAGCATTATCACAGTGCATCCATCCAATCAGACATGAGCCTTGTTGGGATAGCAATGTATTGTTTCCTTTAGAAGTGAATGCAGTTATGTTTTGTGATTTGTCATTGTGTCATGCACTTCAGGGCCGTCGTAAAAATTACATTTATTATTTTTTAAATTTTTTAAATTTTGGCAATCAGCAAGTTGCAAACAAGCTAGCCAAAAGTCAGTTTATTTGGGGTACAAACAAAAGGATGCACATTCAAAATGCCGATCATAATTTCAGTGTCACTGTTCACATCAAAATAATTGTGGACGTTTAATATTATTATTGTATCTGATAGTAGAGATGGAAAAGGCAATGAAAAAACACAGGTTGCATGAAAACTCCTACAACACAGAGGGTTAAATCTTTGCAGGGAGAATAATGTGAGTTTGTGCTGGAGGAGACGTGTGGAGGGAGAAAGGGAGCAATGATTGGCTGCATAGAGGGTTTGATTAGTGAGGTGACAGCGGCTACGCAGTCATTTTGAAGGAGCTTTTGATCTTAGCGTGTTCACGTCTCTCTGTGTGTGTGTGTGTGTGTGTGTGAGGATGACGGCTGACCTTGAGAAATTGCGCCAAGGGTCTTAAGGATGTCCTGCTTGGTGGATTGCTGCTATTAGATTGCTGGATGGTGATTGAGGTGCATGCACGGACAAGGGCAAAGACACACATGTGCAACGCCCACAGCTACCCACACATGAATAATACACACACACACACTCACGGTGAAACAGCAGTCTTTTTAAAGTGTGGAATTACACCACAGAGTCTTGTGGTTGCATCAGAGGTTGTTCATGAAACTGAATTTAATGGTCTTGCTTCCAGTATCATTCAGCATAACTGCACAATTGTACCAGTGTGTGTATGTGAGTGTATGCACGGGCAGAAGTTATTATCACACACACACACACACACCTGTAAAATACAGGGCATGAACCTACAGGTTTTTTTTAAATGAACAAGCGTTCTTCTACCTTATGGCAAATAACCAGCAAGTGTGAACTCTGACTCCTCCGCTGCCTCAGCCTCCTTCACCACTCTATAACAACCTCCTGACCTTCATTCGCAGCCGCCTTTTCCTCTTGCACTTTCTCCCTCACGATTTTTGCTGTTTTCCTCATTCTGCCCTTTCGCTTTCAATTCCGCTTACTTTAATTTACTCTCCTGGCTGCATTTTCTCAGACGTGACCCCGGGGCCGCGGATTCTGTTCATTCCTCTGCTCACGAACCTGATTGCAGTCTGTGAGTCTGTCTGTCTCTTCCACTTTCCCCCCTTCGACTCTCTCTTTCAGCTGCGTGGCTTTGATTGAGAAGTTTTAAGGTCACCTGATATCTGTCCCCTCACACTCAAAACAAATTAGCATTTAGCTTTACTTCATTATTCAGTCTAAGACAACCATTCCTGGAGTCATTGCTAATCTCTGTCAAATTGAATTTAGAAATGATTCAATTTGTCATCGAAGGTTTGTCCATTACTTGTCATTGGATCAGCCATGTACCTCTTCATTTAAAAGTCAGCTTTAATCATTTTACTGACTTTTGAAAGTTCATAAACAAAACACATGAATATCTTTAAATCAATTCATTGAGATTATCTACAGTTGCGCTATGAGTTTTATTTTATTTATTTCAGAAGAAACCTTCATACTCCTTTGACACCAATTCCAAAGCCTTCCTAATGCAGAAAGCAGAACGATAAAGTGTTGGAGACAAAAAGCCTTTTACCACAACATCACAGAACTGCAGTTAATGTGACACTCTGCCAAGAACCATTATTATGAGGCTGCTCCTACAAGGCAGTGTAAAATGAGTCATGAATAAACACTGGCTTATTGTTGGCAAGGAAAAATACACAGGTTGGTCCTTGCAACGGATGCATTAAAGCACGGAATTTATTGACCTTCAAGCGAAGCCTTGAACAGACACAGGATTCTCTGCTCAGTCAGTAGATGTAATTTCACTGGTATTCATGCAGCAGCTGATAATTCAAAAAGAAATCGATCACTACTGTTTACAATCTTGACAACAATGTGAGGAGCCGTGCTGCTACTGGGCCAATGAGGATCAATCGCACAGCCAGACTTCTGTCATTCCTCTCGGTCGACTGGTTCTTCACTGGTCTGTGATCTGTTCTTACCAACTTTTGACTCTGAGTTTCTTCATACGAGTGCAATGGCCATTCTGAACCTGCCTGTTTGGAATAGGCAGTTTGTTTGGACTGTGGTGGTGCTAGTTGTAGCTTTCTCTCTTAAACTGTAACAGTGACCTGCAGATATTGAGCCACAGCAAGAAAAGACCTGCTGCAGGACTCAGTCCACTGAACCCTAAAGCTCCACCACCGCTGAAGGAGCTGTTCACCTGTTTATTCAAAGTACGTGAAGCTCGACTCAGTACTCAGAACCCATAACTGGAGAATCAGTTGTTGTTGACGTTGTCGTGACTTCACCCTTTTTATACAAAGTTTATTTATATTGAACATGTCCAAATGGCACCAAATTCGACACTCCACTTCTTTGAGCCCTTCAACAATGCACATGCAAAGTGTTAATTGGTATGATAAATGATTTCCAAGATATGCAAGCCACAGACTGACAGACAGAGATTTCTGGGACTATAAGACAGATCAATGAGTCTGATTAATATTAATATTTGCTGGTTTCTGCTGACATAGCTGTGTCTTGCCTGGTTCTATCCTTCTAATGGGCTGCTCTCATCTCAGATTTGTGATTTAAAATGATCTGCTGCTATGCTCTGTTTACTACCAATAAGGAAACAATCAACCGATCAGAATTATTAAAGTGAAATAAATACACAAATACAAATACATATACCATACATGTATTCCAAACCAAGGAACCACATTAAAAGTCAATGTGCTGAAATTGTTTCAACTCCAAATTTTTTCTTTTCTGAGCTTTCAACTGCTTTTCATTGTCAGGCTCAGGTGACATCATGGTATCGACAGTACACTTGTCTAATGTGATTTAATTCATGTGTTTATAA